GAGAAAAGAGAATAAATACTCCAACTTCTCTCTTCTGCTGACCTCTGATATTATGCAGTGCCTCCCACTACTCAAATCCTATCCAAGACCACAGGACAAAGGGGCCTGGTTGATAAAGCCCAAAATTTTGACCTCCCAGAACTCAGAGGAGAGTGGGGATGAGTCAAGGGTATGAATAGGGAGATGTTGGTCAAGGAGAACAAAGTTTCAGTTATGCGAGATAAGTAACTTTTAGAGATCTAATGAACAACAGTATACAGTTAACAATACTGTAGTGTGTACTTGAAATTTGCTAAGAGGATAGATCTTAAGTGTTTTTACTACACCAAAAAAAAAAGAAAGGAGAGGGGAAGGGGAGGGAAGGGGAAGGAAGGAAGGAAGGAAGGGAAAGAAAGAAATGATAACTATGTAATGTGATGGATATGTTAATTAGCTTGATTATGGTGATTATTTCACAATGTTTACATATATCAAATCATCAAGTAGTACACTTTAAATATATATAATTTTAAATTGTCAATTATACCTCAGTAAAGCTGGAAAAATATAATGTTAAATAAAAAGAGAAAGTTACCAAATGATTTAAAAAAAAGTTTATTGGGAGAGGGGAGAAGAATCAGCAGAGGACATACGATTTCTTGGGATTTGGGAGGCCATTAAGCTACTAAGATTTCTTTTCACTTCAGTTTGAATAGTGCATTCAATTCATTTATCATTTATTTATTCAACAGATATTTATTAAGCACCTCCTAAATGCCTCACTGGGGAATAGGCATCTCAGTGTGAGCAAGTCACCATCTCTGACTTCAAGGATCTTAGTGGTGGGGTGGCACTGTGCATCAGGTAGAGAGGTAATGCTAAAATAGGGATTACCATGGTTTGCTAAGGAAGCAAGGCAAGGTATTTTACCCTCCTGTTGAGTTCCGAAAGCTTCTATGGAGAAGAATAATGTTGGGGGCTTCCTGAAGGAAGAGTGGGAGTGGGCAAGTAGAATAATTGGGGACACACTGTTATTGAATGTCCAGTAAGAGAGGATGTGAGTTCCAGGATTATGTGAAGTTTCCTATTACCAGACTTAGGGAGGGAGTGTGTAGGCAGGGTACATGAGGTGGAGTGGGGAGAGACAGCTGGGCCCTGTTGCACCAGACCTTGTCTGAGGAATTTGGAATCTATCCTCAAATCACTGGGAAGCTACTGGTGGTTTCTAGTAGGGAAATGTCATTGCCAGATATGAAATCAGAGACAAAAAGGACTAGTGGAGAAACCAGTGATGGGAAAGACCAGTTTGTATATAATTTTAATGGTAAATTGAAACAAAACTTACTCAAAAAGTGAAACTCCAAGTGAAGATCTGTTGAGCAAGCAACTTCCTCATCCATTTCCAAGAAAATGAGGACATGTTTTGGAACTTCCAGGCCAATTGAATTGAAGTGTTTTTGTATAGTTAGCTTAAATAACCAAATGATGAAATCAATCCTCCAAATTGTCAGCAGAACAGCTGTTCAGAAAGCTCTTGTTAGTCATTGACCTTATGTTTAATATGATCTCCTAGAACGTGGATAGTCAGATTGAATAAAGTACTGCATCAAAGCCCTCCCCACACAGCAAGCTTTCTGCAATGAAAGAACCAGGAAAAGGAGAGTGGCTGGCACAGAGTGCAAAAGCCCTTTATTTCCTGCCCCCCAAGTCCCCAGGGAAAAAGAAAAGAAGAAGGCATGCCACAGGCACATCTTAGAGAAGAAGTACTGGGACTACTAACCTAACTTACCTCCTAATCATAATCCAGGGGGTAAAAAAGAACACGTTCATGACCTAAAAATCCTCCTTTGGTTTTCAAGAATAACTATGGATTCTTATTCAATCTATTTCCTGTCTGTATAACAGCTGCTTCATCTATTGCTTATGTCACTGGAGGTGGGATAGGATATGATGAAGGATTAGGTGGGAGGGTTGGAGGTTTGGGGTAAAATAGAGGATAAATGTGGAGACTTTTTCTTAGAATAAGAAACCAGCGTCTGTAGTGCTGAAGAGTTGGTTTTACCTTGAAAATAAAAAGCCATGTGTAAGAGTGAAAAGGATGCTTGCTCTATCTACCTACTTACCTACCTATTAATCATCTTTATCTTCTTATCCATTTATCATATATATATATACTCTGCTGATCTTGTACTGGCTTCCACTTACTGTGAAAAGCACACATGTAAAAGAATTAAAATAAAAATAAGGAATTGCCTGGGTGGCTCAGTTGATTAAGCGACTGCCTTCAGCTCAGGTCATGATCCTGGAGTCCCAGGATCGAGTCCCGCATTGGGCTCCCTGCTTGGCAGGGAGTCTGCATCTCCCTCTGACCCTCCCCCTTCTCATGTGCTCTCTCTCTCATTCTCTCTCTCTCAAGTGAATAAATAAAATCTTTAAAAAAAGAAAAAAAGAAAAATAAAGAATTTCACACACCATATAGTGAAAGAAGGGTGTATAATTGTACTAACAGCATGGAAAAAGTAGTTCTGACAACTGAGTAATTTAGCGTAAGCTTCAAGGCAAAATAAACAACCTCTGTAAGACTTATAAATTGTTATTGTTGATGAAAAGAAGTGCACTATTGTATCAGAATGGGAAAATATCCCCTCGTAGTAAATCCTAAAATTTTATTCTTTTATATGAGAGAACCTGTAGCAAAATGTACAGTGTCTTATACAGCAGTTTTACAGAAGATGCAGAAATGTTCATCATCTGAAATTTGTTATGCCAATATTGGATATAAAAGCAGCAGTATTTAATAAAAAGGAACTGAAGACCATGACCTGCTTCATCTATTATTCTTCTGAATAACACATTTTTTAAGACACTGACAAAACAAAACTGCCCAGTTCTGAACTTCTATAGTTCCATGCCTCATCTAAGTTAGGGTTTTGTATATAGTAGTAGCCTTAGGTTATGGCTCACTTCTGAGTTTGGATTCTTTCATCTGAAAGAAAATAGAAATCTTAAGCAAAAGTGCCTTAAGCAAATAAGAGAATCTATTGGATCATGAAACTGAAAAATCCATCAATATGCTGGTTTCAAGCTCCAGTTTGACCCAGAGGTTCACAGCATCACTAGGGCATTGGTTCCTTAGCTGTTTTCCTTGACATCCATCCTCTCTGCTATGTTATCTTTTTCTTCCAGTTAGTAGCTCTTACCATAGCAAATACTTACATTTGTTCCAGGGTTCTTCACACTTCAAAATCCTTATACTCTAGAATTCAGAGAAAAAAATGAAAATTCTCTAGATACCAAAGTGAAGTTTAAACAGTTAACATTGGTTGAGCAACTAATTTCAAAATATAATGCTGAGTGAATTAAACCAGACACAAAAGAATAGGTAATTTTATATGAAGTTCTAGAATAAGCCAAATTAATCTATGATGATAGAAATCAGAACAGGAGAGGGGAATTGAGAGAGAAGAATTGGAAAGGAACTTTCTAGAGAGAGAAATGTTCTTTATTTCATTTTTGGGTGGTGGTTCTGCCAGTGTATGCCTTTGTCAAAAGTTGTATGTTTACAATATGTGCATTTCACACACTTCAGAATGAAAGCCTAGGTACTAAAAGATCATGCTGGCTGATGTAAGGAGAATTGACTGAAGTGGGCCAATATGGGAAACAGAGATAGAACACTCACTGTTGGCTTAGACCACACTGAGAAGCAGAGGTCAGTTCTGGATATGTTTTGAAGTTGAATCAACAAGATTAGCTGATTGTGTGCTGTGAGAGAAACAAAGGCATAAAGGCTGACTCCTAGGTTTTAGCTCTGCATATCTAGGTGAATAGTGATGCCACTTGCTAAAATGAGGAAGAAGTGGTGAAGAAGAAGTTTTGCAAATAATACATTATATGTTAAAAAAAAAAAGAAGATAGTAGGAAGGGAAAAATGAAGGGGGGGTGGAATCAGAGGGGGAGACGAACCATGAGAGACTATGGACTCCGAGAAACAAACTGAGGGTTTTAGAGGGGAGGGGGGTGGCGGGAAGGGGTAGCCCGGTGATAGGTATTAAAGAGGGCACATATTGAATGGAGCACTGGGTGTTATATGCAAACAATGAATCATGGAACACTACATCAAAAACTAATGATGTAATGTATGGTGACTAACATAACATAATAAAATAAAATTTAAAAAAAAAGGTTTTGGGTGGGAGGGTGGAGGCAAGGAAATCTAGACTTTGGTTTTGAACTTGAGATGCCCATCAGACATGCATCTGGAGCTGTTAAGTAAGAAAGTGGTGTAGAGGGAGGAGTTTAGAGGAGAGGTCAGGTGCAAATATAAATTTGGGGGATGACCTAGGAGAATTGGATGTCTGGTAGTTTAGAAGCATGTTGAGACTAGTCCTGATGGTCTTGTAGGCACAAATGTGTAATTAATTCTAATTGGGGCTTCCTCTTGGCACTTTAGCAGTTTTTGTGAAGAAGCAAGTAGTGGCTTCTGTCATATCCCTGAGCAAATCACTGTGGCCTGAAGAATGGGATTACAGAAACTATGGATGCCTGAAATGCAGGGAAGGTGTGTGTGTGTGTGTGTCTTGTGCATTTCTGAGCGCTGTGACTCAGGGACGAGATTACCTAGAGTTACCAAGAGATAGGAGAGGATGATTGCTGAATGGCCAAACCCAGCACATGCTCATTAGAGCCCTTCACCCACCAACCAGCAAACATAATACTGTTGACAGAGAAAATCTGGGAAGAGCACGAGTGGATCCATATAAACACATCCCCACTCTGGGAAAATAATAGGAAGTATTATCTTTAGTGGCATAAAAAGAAATCACACAATTTGAGAGGCAGTATTGTATTCTAATTTGATCAAGGATCAAATTTTATTGTATGCTTAAGCACTTATCCATTGCAAAGTCCAGAACTCTAAACAGTGTGTTATCTCAATTTTGCAAACAACAAATACTCAAATATTATTACCCACAAGTACATGGAGTCAATTTGTAAGATACTTCTTTTCTTTTTCACAGGAAGAAATGAAAAGATTGCAGAATCCTTTAGAACAAGTTAATGATGGAAAATATTTACTTGAAAAGTAAGTAAAAAATACCAAAGGAAATTAAATTATGTTTGAGGTTAAAAAGCTTGCAAGAAAAAAAAAAAAAAAACCTGGCAAGGTAAATGAATATTTACTTTGAAATGAAAAATGAATAAGTAAATTCCACAGTTTCCTACGCTATCATTGTAGTCAGGACCCAGAAATACGGTTCATTTGAGATACAGTTAGATAGATTTAAGGCTAGTTGAGCTATGACACACAAGCTGTCCTGATTAACAGAATAATATGATGCATGGAGGTGTGTGCTGTGTCTGAGGGCTTAAAACTTAACAACCCTGCCCTGTTTTTGGCTTTTAATCAATGACGTGTATAGAAGACAGTCATAAAATTTGCAAAAAGCATAAATGTAGCACTAAGACCAAAGAATGAACATTTAAAATAATACTACAGAATGGAACAAAACTGCGCTGAAAAAAAGGCAAGAAAGAAAGAGATGAAATTTAACAGGATACAAGTAAAGTTTTCATTTCAATTTTTAAAAAATTGTGCAATTAGAGCATGTGAGAGATATATTCTGATTTCAATTTGTGAATAGATGCTTAGAGGTTTTATCTGATATTAACACGAGACCATGATTTTATATGGCTTCTAAAAATATTACAATATTAGACTAATCAATAGCCATGCATTGTCAAGATAAAAGAAAAAATGAACTATCATTTACTGAGCATTTACAATATCCTCCATATTAGTGAATGCTTACAGATGTTTCCTCATAGAATTCTGATTACAGCCTTTGACATAGGTACTATTTCCATTTTATCAACAGGGAAAGAGGCTTAGAGATGTTCAGCACTTGTCTAAGTGTATTTAAGAGTAGTGAGGGTAAGAACTTGGATGCCACCAGAGCTCCTGCTCTCAACCACTGGCTAAGTCCCAATTCAAAGACCATGTGGATGTCACCAGTGGCTCTGGTCATCACATTTAAAAAGCACATAGAGGGGCACCTGGGTGGCTTAGTCTGTTAAGCGTCCAACTCTTGATTTTGGCTCAGGTCTTGATCTCAGGGTCCGTGACGTCAAGCCCCTCTGTGGGCTCCACCCCACTCACCACCATGGGGCCTGCTTAGGATTCTCTCTCTCCTTCTCCCTTGCTGGCCCCCGCTCACTTGCTCTCTCTCTCTCTTTCTAAAATAAAATAAAATAAAATAAAAACCGCATAGACCTTCCCAAAAGCATCAGAGGAGGTCAATTAAAATTGTGAGGGTTCTGAAATCATGTGAAACTATTACAAAGAGCTGAGTATGTGTAGTTGGAGAAAAGAAATCTCAGGGGGAACATAATGGCTTTCCTTAAACATTTGAAGGAATTTTCCTATTAAGAAGGGGCTAAATTGCTCTTCTTGCTCTAGAGAGCATAACAAGAATCTGTGAGCAGGATTTATGGAGAGACAGCTTCGTGACTCAGAAAAAAAATAATTTCTGTAAAAATGCTGCCTGCCCAACAGAATGGACTTCTTTGTTACGGAGTGAGATGACAGATACTAGAGGTGCCCAAGAAGAGTGAAATGGCCATCCATCTGAAGTGCTATGGAAAGCATTCCTGAAAATGGGAAATCTTGGATGTGATTCCTCTTTCTGATTTTATCCTAGGTTTGTGACAATTATTTAACCCCCCTGAACCCAGCTTCCTCATCTTTAAAAATGAAGGTAGTAACACTGATTGACAGTCTTAGTGAGAGCGTTAAATAAGACATGCACAATAGCACAGTGCCAGTCAGCTCCTTCTCTTTCTGTCCCGGTGGCTATTTGGACTAGACACTTTCAGGTTCATTCTATCTCCATGATTCTAAGAATTTGCCATGTCATCGCTTGAAGGACAGTTTCAGCCCTTTGATTAAATGAAGTTTCTGGGTTATCTTCAGATTTAATTTATTCTTATCATGTCTAGTCTCATTAATATGAATAACTAAGAATAAATTAGTTCAGTTCTCACAACCCCCACCATCATCACTAGAAATATGTAAACAATAATAATTAAAAAGTTTTTGGCTGTGTAAGTAGAAAGATTTTCCTCTATGGAGATTAGGGTGGTAATGACATGAGATCAGTGGTTCTTCATCCTGGATGCCCTTAGAATCACCTGGTTAATAAAAATGGTATAAGCCTTGGCATAACCTCTACCCTAGACAAACTGAATCTGGATCACTGGGGATGAAGTCCTTAAATTAGTATATCTTCAAAGCTGACTTCATGTGATTCGAGTGAGGAACTAGGGATGAGAACCAGTGGTCTAGGTGTATTTTAGATTCCTTTTGGTTATTCAGTAATCTCATGTAGCTTAATTCTCTTAGGACACACTTTCTCTGTGACTTTCAGCCCTTTCGACATGGGGCTACTGAGCAAACGGTCAAGAAAGAATTCTTGATACATTTTTGGTGCAAAAAGGTGTTTTTATTAAAGCATGGGGACAGGACCAGTGAGCATAAAGAGCTGCACTGGGGTCATGAGGAGCGATTGATTATATACTTTTAGGCTGCGGGGGGAGGGTAGAGATAAAGAAAGTCTCTAAATGGATTTCCATATGCTAAAGAAGACTTACGGATCCTGGAGGTCTGGCTGGTCTCAAACTAAGGTTGCCTTTAGTCTCTAGCAAAACATCAACATTATTAAGGCAGCCAGGAGTTCCTTGAGGAATGTCACACTCTGCATGTCTCAGGTATTTGTCAATAGGCTGCAAGTTGTAAGGAAATTTAATTTTATCTACATTTCTCCTGCCTTTGTTCTCCTCATCACTTTTATCTATTAAATTTGGTTATGCTGGTATTTCATTATTGATTTTAATGTAAGAAGTGAACTCCAGAAGTTTTTTTCCTTGCTAACTGACCACAGCTTTGTATTAAACTTCTCACTAATACCAGCATGTATCTTTCCCAGCTCTCTGCTCTCAGGAAGATTTGTGAAGATTAATGGCAGATATGTGGACTTCTGCCTCCTCCTTCCTCCCCTATTATTTCCTTGTTATCCAGAAGCCTGGGGAAGCTAAAAGCTTTTGGAAATGGCCAATCTGCTTTGCATGCGTATTTTTCCTTATCATGATTGAGGAATTTCAGATATGGGAATTAAAGTCTCCCCTCAAAGCACACAGGCCTGTGGGGTAAGCTTTCCTTTCATGTTTGTCCAGGGCAGAGAGAAAACAGCGGCTGCCAGCCCTAACAACCTATACCCCTTTGCCTTGAATTCTAGAGATTTTCCTGGTTGGCTTTCGGGCAGGGCTGTGTCCTTGAAAGTTGTCAAATTTGATTGAAAAATTGGTGTACTTGGAGTGAGTAGTTAGGCATTTCAGTATAGCTGTAGCTGACTTAGGTGCTGATGTAACTCATCTCAGCTACTTGCAATGACCATAAGTTAGGTGATAGGGGTGTCATAGCAGTTGATCAGTTATTCCGTCTTGGAACATTACATTTATTCTGAATGCTCAACAGGCTTTTGTGGTAGACAGTCAGTGTGAAGGGAGGGCAAGCTGCAACTTTATTCTACTTGAGACTTAATGCAGGGCCAATCCAATGCATTTGTATACACATACATGCACATACTCAATAAAGCTTTCTATGTGCCCATAAACAGAAGAGTAATTAGTAAGGCCATTAATTAAGAGCCTGCTTATGACTGTATTGTTTTTGATAATCATTTATTAACTTAAATAAGACCTTAGGGTGACTGCTATTTGTTGTAAATATTGAATCAGACTGGGTTTCTGGTGGGAAATGTGTGATTGCTAGTCACACATTCACCTCACATATCATCATTTTATTACCCACAGATAATTATTGATGGAATGAGCTAAAGCTATTCAATTAAACCTACAGGTATTCATAGTTTATAGTTTGTTGAGTTTGTATAAATTATAACCCCAAATTAGCAAATTTATTAATACTGTAATTTTTTTTCTTTTTATGAAAACTTGAGCTTTGCCTTTGGTTGCTGCATAATTACAGGTCCCACAACACCTCACATGTATCTCTATTGCCCAGTTTGCTAATATGTTATTAAGGGGTTTAATTAACAAAATCTTAAAGTATCTGTTGTCCCTACAAGATCATAGACTTGTAAAAACAAGACTTTTCATGCCCATCAACTCTGGATTAGGTCCCTCTGTGTTTCCCCTTTAATAGCATACATCACACTTGTAATTATTTGTTTAATAGCCATCATCTAGATTGTAAAACCGTACGACAGGGACCATGTCTCTAGTGTTTTCACCATTGTACCATTTGTGTTCTGCATCATTTCTGACACATAGGAGACATACAATATATTTATGAATGAGTAAGGATGAATTAATAATGGGCCCAGAATACAAATGGCGCAGAGCAAACAAGAGTGGTTTTTTCCCTTACCTCTCAACATCCCAGCTGGGCAACCACAAAGCTATATTGTGCTGATGGCTCCATCTACTGGCCGCATAGGAATTTATGTAATCTACTACGTGTTTCCAAACTTCTTGGTTTTTCCTTTCAAAAGAGGAGAAAATCCTAGATACCATCAGCACGATTTTTTTTTTAATCTTTTTCTTTTCTTTCCTAAAAACACAATCCTGGTCCTTATTATTAGACCAATTTGAATACCTTCCTAAATATTTTCCATCATTCCCTTTGCTCACTCCTACCAAAAATTGCCCATAAACATCCCATTCAAGTTTCCCCACTCCAAATGCTTTATGTTTCCTTGCAGCAATGTTTTTCACACTGTAGATAACAATCCACTGATGGTTTGTTAAATCAATTTGATGGGACACCAGTAAAATATAACTTAAAAAATCTGAAATATAATAAAAGAAATCAACATACATTACATGTAGTTGGGGAAATAATATTCCCTGAAATTTTTGTTTCAGTTTTAAACACACATGCACACACACGTACACACACACACCCTTAGCACATGCATGTAATGGATTGGGTTGCCAAATATTTGACCTATGAAAACCACAGTCAGTATGATTAAGTTTAATAAGTATTATATTAAAATCCTTCAA